AGGGGGCCATTTAGGGATCTGGGGCAAAATCCATACTTGGTCCTGCTGGTGCAGGCAGGGGGCTGGACTTGATGACCTTTTGGGGTCCCTTCCAGTTCTATGAGATAGGTATATCTCCATATAACTGTTTAGTTTCCTGTTTTCTTAATTTATTTAATTTGAATATTAGTTGGATTTGTTTTATAGTTTTATCTTAATGTAAATAATATACACCTCTACCTCGATAGAACGCTGTCCTCGGGAGCCAAAAAATCTTACCGCGTTATAGGTGAAACCGCGTTATATCGAACTTGCTTTGATCTGCCGGAGTGTGCAGCCTCCCCTCTCCCCCCCCCCCCCCCCCCCCCCCCCCCCCCCGGAGCATTGCTTTACTGCATTATATCAGAATTCGTGTTCTATCGGGTCGCGTTATATCGGGGTAGCGGTGTATTTCCATTGGTGCGTAGAACTAATTTCCCATGCCTGGCTTCTGTGTTTGGGCTAGCTGAATAACTGCAAGATGTGAACTATGGCTATTGTGTTTCTGACAAATGAGTGAAGCTGAAACAGAATTTATTGATTGACATGTTGACAAATTTAGAGTAAATTCTTATTTGCAAATGGAGAAAAGGATCATGTTAAATCTGTGATGCAACATTCTTTAAACAGCAAAAAGAAAAGAAATACTATAGCCACAAAGGCTGGCTGAGTGTAAACTCTACTTCCTTCCCAGATTCCTTTCCAACCTGGAAGATGAATTTATACAATCACTGAGCCAAATCCTGCTTGCCTTTCTCAACAAATAGTTGTATTGAAGCCAGTTGGACTGCTCCCCTAGAAAGGCAAGAAGACTTTACCTGTGCTCCCTAAAGTGGAGAGAGCATTTCTCAGTCATCTCCGCATCAAGGTTGACAAACCCAGCTTAGGCCTCCTCCTTTCCAAAGCAGATACATTTAATTCTGTGGACTTTCCTCTCCGGTGGCGTCTCAGATGAAGCCATAGAAATGCTGTTACTGTTCACTGTCCATAGACCTCAACGGCATCATACTGCTTTTTTAAAGAGCTGGAGTTTGCCAAAATGTCATTGACAAACGTGTCCCCTGTCCCATGCTGTTGTGCCGCTTGCTATGCTTGTCTGGCTGATTGCTGCCCTTCTGTACAGAAGAGCTACTTGTATGGTTTGTGACATGCATTTAGATCCTGAAAGGCATTACAGAAATTATAGAAAATAAAAAAGGCATTATGGAAATTAAAATTATTTTCTAAACTGTGTTCAGACTCCAGGACCAAGGATAAGAACCTTTAATGTAGAGAGAATTTAAGGAGGCAGAAATTCTTCCAATCTAATGTTGTGGTGTTGCTGCTACTGTAGCTTAGTATTCATATGTCATTTCAATGTGCTATGTTTGTAATTTACTTCTAGGAGGAGATTGTGCCACACTCCTAAAGAATATTGGAGCCCTACCAGTTGATATGGCCAGGATGTATTTTGCAGAGACAGTGCTGGCACTGGAGTACCTACACAATTATGGCATTGTCCACCGTGACCTAAAACCTGACAAGTATGTTTTGAACCTTTCAGGTTCAAATATGTAGTTGTAGATCTCCGTGATAAAAGTATAATTACTAATTAAGCATTGGATGTTATAGGCAAGTAGCCAGTCTTGTCTCATTTATTTAGTCTAGAAAAGACTAAGTTTATAATGTTGTTTTCTTGATAGGTTCAACTTCTTGTTTTCAGATGTCAATCTGTGCTAACATCATTAAAAAGTAATTCCCCCCGCCATGATGCACATTAATATGCATTCATAGATTCCAAGGCCAGAAGTGATCATCTAGTCTGACCTGCTGTATAACACAGGTCAGAGAACTCCCCAAAAATAACTTCTAGAGCAGAGCTTTTAGAAAAAAACATCCAGTCTCGATTTAAAAATGGTGAGTGATGGAGAATCCACCACGACCCATGGTAAATTGTTCCAATGATTACTTACTCTCACAGTTAAAAAATTACGCCTTATTTCCAGACTGAATTTGTCTAGCTTCAACTTCTCACCATTGGATCATGTTAGACCTTTCTCTGATAGACTGAAGAGCCCATTATTAAATATATGTTCCCCATGTAGGTACTTATAGACTGTAATCAAGTCACCCCTTAACCTTCTCTTTGTTAAGATAAATAGATTGAGCTCCTGGTGTTTTTCACTGTAAGGCATGTTTTCTAATCTTTTAATCACTCTGGTGGCTCTTCTCTGAACCCTCTCCAATTTATCAACATCCTTCTTGAATTGCGGGCACCAGAACTGGACCCAATGTTCCAGCAGTGGTGGCTCCAGTGCCAAATACAGAAGGGAAGTAACTTCTCAACTACTTGAGAATCCCGTGTATGCATCCCAGGATCTCATTAGCCCTTTTGGCCCTCGCGTCACACTTGGGAGCTCATGTTTAGCTGATTATCCACTGCGACCCCCAATTCTTTTTTAGAGTCACTGCATCCCAGAACATGTCCTAAATTTAGCTCAATAATCCCTTGTATGTCCTAAGCTGTTCCTATGGCATATTTAGCAGGTGCATCGAAAACAAACCGATCTCTCTGCCCTGATTCAGCAAAAATCTCTCGAATCCTAACAGCAGGTACAAAAGTTGACAAAAACCCATCATTTTAAGGATGTTGGATTGAAAGACAGAACAGCATTTAATCTTAAGAGTTTTATTAGAGCAGTTAAGCATGGAAAGAATGACATCTTACAATCTCATTCTATTCAAATGAGAGAGAGAGAAGTTAGATGAGGTAATATCTTTTAGTGGACCCACTTCTGTTGGTGGAAAGGAAAAGCTTTCTAGCTACAAAGAGCTTCCTCCAGTCTCTGGAGCTGTATGTAGTGATCAGAGGTTTGTAATAGGTGAGTCCTCTGGGGATGAGGTTTTGTTTCTTGAATCTGCTCAGAAAATGTCGCTGTTCAGTCTGGCTTCCTTCTTCATGTTGTGAAGTTTCCATTCGGACCAATATGGCTACAGCACTGCAAACATTCTGTTCAAAGGTCCGTCTGAACCCTGTTATTGCATTAATCCAATCTGAAAGCAGTCTGATTTCCCAGCTGTCCTGGTCTCTCGTTCATATAAGTGGTGGAATGCACAGGATCACCAAGCACCATATATCTGTTGGACATTTTGCTAGATAATGCAATAGCATTACATTGTGATTGCTTTCTGAAACTATAGCAGTGAATACTGAATTATTTTCCTTCCTCTTTTTCCCAGTCTTCTGATAACATCCATGGGTCACATTAAACTAACAGATTTTGGACTCTCTAAAATTGGGCTGATGAGTCTCACAACTAATCTGTATGAGGGACACATTGAGAAAGATGCAAGAGAGTTCCTGGATAAGCAGGTAAGCTGAAAAGTGTTTTTCTAAAAAATTACAGCTTTGAATCAGTGATTCTCCGCAGCATTTCACAGACTTTTCTTTTTCAGTGTATAGACGGAGAGTGTTTAATGCTCTTTGCAATAAGAAAAGATTTTGTGACCTGAAATTGCAGACAGAGGTAACTTGATGATCGCGGTTCAGATAGATACATCACTCCCCATACAGTGGTGTAAGTGCTGAATACAGTTAAACTGATGAAACTATAAACTTAAAACCTGAACCTGCAATTATCTCTGTGAAGATGCGTGCTCCTAGATGTATGGGTTGGGGCCCTTTGTGACAGAATCAGAGGATTTGTAGAACTCCCTGACACTGTGGTGTCTGTTGAATGATGAAGAGCCGAGACTTGAATCACAAGGTTTTCATATGATTCTGCACAAATAATGTTCTTTAGCAAAGTTCTGTTCTAAATTGCACCGAAGCCATGGGTGGAAAATTGGGCAATTCATATAAATGCTGAATGTTGTGATCTTTGACAGGTTATGCAAGTTTATCTAGTCTGACTGTCACTAACTGTTGCATATTTCCATGTGGCAAGGGATGTATTAATGACAAAAATCAGCTGAGGCCGTGGAAAAAGAATTCGGTAGAAGGAAGCTGGCTTCCAAATATGGCAGCTTGTAAATTAACAGTTTCCTTTCTGTCTGTCCATCTTCAGGTATGTGGGACGCCAGAATACATTGCCCCGGAAGTAATCTTGCGACAGGGCTATGGAAAGCCTGTGGATTGGTGGGCCATGGGAGTTATCCTGTATGAGTTTTTAGTTGGCTCTGTCCCTTTCTTTGGTGACACACCAGAAGAACTGTTTGGACAAGTGATCAGTGGTATGTTTGTTTATCCTGTCTCTGGAGGGGTTACCTTTAGCAGTTCACTATGAGAGAGCATGAAACAATTGAAATCTGCTGTAATTTAGTGAAGAAAGACTACATAAGAAGCAAAGTTAATTGTTCAGTATTAGAATTAGTTTCATACTCCCTTTTTGGTAAATCACTACAGTTGCTAAAAGCTCTTGACTTGCTTAACATACACCAAATGTCATGTGTATATATGTATGTAAACTCTGTCAATATGCATCGTGCAGGGAGAAATTCAGCTTATAAAAGAAATTAGTGTTGTGGGGAGTGGAAAGAGATGTGTTTGCATTTGAAAAGAGCAGCCGATTAGCAGGCCAAGATTCTATTTTGTTGTTGGTTATCCCGTGTAGACGTAAAGGATAGGGCTCATTAGTCAATTGCTACAGAAATGTAATAAAAATAACTTATAAAAGCAACAAAGTACATCAATAAACAGTGTTGTATTAGATACCTTCATGCCTTGGGTAGTGAAAGTGTTTGTCCTTTGGCCCATATGTCATGGCTAGAGCTGGGCAAATGCTGTAGAAAATTGATTGATTCTGTTTTTATTAATTGATTTGCTTGTGTTCACTTTCCATGAGTATTCAAGTGAAAAAGATTGTTCTCAAATGTTCACCGAAACAGTGAATTTTAAGCAAATATTTGTGGAACACGAGTTTCAGGATTTGCAAGAAGCAAGAGCTAAAATTGATTAATAAAATTGTTACCCAAAATGTGTAGGCATTGAGATACAGCTGCACCATAGTAGTTCTTTATGTGTTGCCATAAAAGATCGTTATTTCATATGTATTAAGGTTCTTACAGTTTTGTCCTAACAATTACTGTTTGCACTGACAGCAGCTATGGTTAATACTGAAATTATATGCATTTTGGAAAATGTCAGTGCTCGAATTATATTAAGTACTCATGCGGCTGAATGCAAACCCATTCAAATCATACTCTGGTATAGCATACTACTTTCTATTGTATAAAAACGTTTGTGGATTTCATGACTTGCCTTTTTCATATTGCTTTATTTCCTTAGATGAAATTGCCTGGCCAGAAGGGGATGAAGCATTACCACCAGATGCACAGGACCTCACATCTAAACTTCTCTGTCAAAACCCTCTGGAAAGACTGGGAACAGGTAACGGGCGTATTTTTGCGAAAAGACTAAGCAGAAGCAATAAAAGAAGCTGCAGTGCCAATGGAAGTTGCTACCCTGTTGTGAAATGCTGGCTTTGTGCTGGGAAATAGTCTGCACTGAGTTTAGTGATGGTCTGAACAGGTTCCTGTCCCTGTGGATAGAGCGATCAGACTCCGAGTGAAATCTGCATGTCAGAAAAATGCCATTGTTTTGAGGGTTAAAGAAGAAAAGGTGTCTGCTCACCAATCTGACTCACTGTAAATATCACAGCATCACCTCACTAGACAGCCATTTTGAGTGCTCCGGTTCAGGCTTTGTCAGGGATGTGTGTCTCAATCGGAATATTGTTTAAACAGATTTTGCATGAAATTCTCTTTGACAAGGACAGTGACCCTCCATGTTGATGAGCACTTGTGAGCGTAACAAAAGGACAACTTTTCTCTTTAGCGGTACACACTCTGCTATGTAATCCCCTAAAATCCAAGAACCTGAAGTCTCCTGGGAAAAGTAAAGTGCTTAAGACTATCTGTAAGCAATGTATGGTCAGATTTAAGCCTTTGCAATTTAGGACTGTCCCTTTTAAGATTTTAAGGAACCATTGATGCATTTAGCTAACTTCCACATGACACTCCAGTTTCAACAGTTCCTGCCTGACCCTGCAGCTTCATGGCACTGTTCTCTTTTTCACTAACGTTTTGTGTTTGGTTTGGTTTGGTTTCACATTTCATTTGAAATTAGTAACTCAATTTATATGTAGCCTTTAAAAAATGCAAATACAGAACAATTTCAAAGTGTGCCCTTACCGGCTGGGTGGCTCAGGAATCAGTCATGTGAAGTGAAGCCTTTCATATAGAGAGAGATCACCAGCTCAAATCCAGGCCCCACTGGTGGTGTCTGAAAGTCATCGCCACCTTAAGGGTGTTGTGTTTTGTTATATGTAAAATGCATTGGTGGGTTTATTTCAGTTGCTGGTGGACAGATTCTATTCCACTAAAACTGCCACCACTGTGGGCGTCTTTGCTCTCAGCCAACAAACCTTATTTTTCTTCTCTCCTACCAGGCCTTTTCTGTGGACAAATCCGATACCTTTTATGAGTAGTGATTTCATTTAAAATGTCCACAGCCCAGCAGGCAAATGATCCTTTCTTATTTTTTCTTTCTGAGTCTTCAAACTCCAGAGTTTAACAACAAAGGTCGTGATTCAAGAAGATATTTTTAAACACGTGCCTAATTTTAATACTTTTGAATTCAATGGAACTACTCATATCTTTAAGTGCCTTGCTGAATCAGAGTCAAAAACTGTGCACATACACTTGGTGTGAACAAGATAGCATTTAAAGGGTTTTAATTAAGAGGTTAATTTGTTCTCGAGACTTACACTGCAGAATTATACTGGAGATGCTGCTTCCCAGCCAATGTAGGCATGTGTTGTGCTTACATTAAGGGGGGTAAATCGTGCAGTTTTTATCTGTCAGCACAACATTGGCAAAGAACCGAAGTTTAGTTTCCTGTGATTCTCAGAAAATGTGTGTGTTAGATGAGTGTACTTTCGTGTTTTCTCCTATGCCTTGAGCATTTTTTTGTCACGTGAGAGCAATGTTAGAAAAATACCCTCCTTTCAGGTAGTGCCTTTGAGGTGAAACAGCACCGGTTCTTTAAAGATCTGGACTGGAATGGATTACTTCGACAGAAAGCAGAATTTATTCCACAGCTGGAATCAGAGGATGACACTAGCTACTTTGACAGTAAGGAAAAAGAGCTTCTCACTCAGCCTGAGTTTATATCATCTTTAATGTGGGCCATATTTCTTATATGTAGTTAATTGCTTAATGAAAGCCATTATCACCAATTTAATAAAATATATTTGATTGATATTCTGTAAAAAGTACTATATTGAATCCCAAGAGAGGAGTGAGTTTGGAACTGAATGAGAATTGCATGAAAATTATTCTAGGCTTCATTGGTATTGGTGGCCTAGTTATATCCCATTGTCGGCCACAGCGTTATCAGAAGAGCCCTGGAAATTCTTTACTTCATTCATAGAGGTATTTAGCTGTGTATGATTTTTTTTTTTTTTGTCCTCCCTTCTTTCTGTTCACATGAACATCACTATGCTGGGTAATGTTAAAATGATTGCTGTGATCAAGCACATCAGATGCGATGACTCCTCCAGTCCATGTGCATGTTTTCACCCTACAGTTTTTGGGTGATATTAGTTTTTAACTCGTATTTAACTCATACGTTGGAAGGAAAAATCTTTTGGAGTTGTAAAGGAATTATTACAATAATTTTCACTGTGAGAGATACCTTACTGTGTGTTGCTGGTTGAAATACTGTAGTTAGATAGAGCTTGGCTCTCTAGTGCAGTGGGGTGATCACGTTAGACCTCAAGCTCTAGTGCTTTGGTTCTGGGACAGTGACGGTGGGATACGGTACAGGGACACGGAGCTCAATCCCCGTGGGTAGAAGTGCCTTTTTATTTTCTAGCAATCCCCAGTTGACAAGCTTTGCAGACAGCAACAAATGTCCAGGCATGCTTAGCTGGATAGAGGGATACCATGGCATGAGTCCTCTGTTGGGGAGAATTTTCATAGATTCATAGATTCATAGATTCTAGGACTGGAAGGGACCTCGAGAGGTCATCGAGTCCAGTCCCCTGCCCGCATGGCAGGACCAAATACTGTCTAGACCATCCCTGATAGACATTTATCTAACCTACTCTTAAATAGCTCCAGAGATGGAGATTCCACAACCTCCCTAGGCAATTTATTCCAGTGTTTAACCACCCTGACAGTTAGGAACTTTTTCCTAATGTCCAACCTAGACCTCCCTTGCTGCAGTTTAAGCCCATTGCTTCTTGTTCTATTCTCAGAGGCTAAGGTGAACAAGTTTTCTCCCTCCTCCTTATGACACCCTTTAGGTACCTGAAAACTGCTATCATGTCCCCTCTCAGTCTTCTCTTTTCCAAACTAAACAAACCCAATTCTTTCAGCCTTCCTTCATAGGTCATGTTCTCCAGACCTTTAATCATTCTTGTTGCTCTTCTCTGGACCCTTTCCAATTTCTCCACATCTTTCTTGAAATGCGGTGCCCAGAACTGGACACAATACTCCAGCTGAGGCCTAACCAGAGCAGAGTAGAGCGGAAGAATGACTTCTCGTGTCTTGCTCACAACACACCTGTTAATACATCCCAGAATCACGTTTGCTTTTTTTGCAACAGCATCACACTGTTGACTCATATTTAGCTTGTGGTCCACTATAACCCCTAGATCCCTTTCTGCCGTACTCCTTCCTAGACAGTCTCTTCCCATTTTGTATGTGTGAAACTGATTTTTTCTTCCTAAGTGGAGCACTTTGCATTTGTCTTTGTTAAACTTCATCCTGTTTAACTCAGACCATTTCTCCAATTTGTCCAGATCATTTTGAGTTATGACCCTGTCCTCCAAAGCAGTTGCAATCCCTCCCAGTTTGGTATCATCCGCAAACTTAATAATCATACTTTCTATACCAATATCTAAGTCGTTAATGAAGATATTGAACAGAGCCGGTCCCAAAACAGACCCCTGCGGAACCCCACTCTTTATGCCTTTCCAGCAGGATTGGGAACCATTAATAACAACTCTCTGAGTATGGTTATCCAGCCAGTTATGCACCCACCTTATAGTAGCCCCATCTAAATTGTATTTGCCTAGTTTGTCGATAAGAATATCATGTCATAGAGGATCTTTATATGGACATCAGAAAACTGAGATGGCATTACTATCATAAGCACTAGTTTACCGAGGTTTATAACTCCTGAAAAAAGCCCTTTCTGGCTGATGCAATACAGCAAATGTGGCTCAGTCTGTACATGTTTAAAGGACTAGGAAGAGCAAAACGGTGTGTATATTTGAAGTCTATTTGCACACATGCAGTTTTACGGAAGATATTCTTCATGATCAAAAATACTCAAAGCTCTACGACACGCAACGTTTGCAGCTAGACAAATAGGAATTGCTATGTGCAGACTGATCCTGAGAGCATCAGTTACTGTTTGTCGTACTTTATAGAAAGTACAAAGGGCATGAACTCTCTAGGTGCTGGTTAATTATACAGCAGTTTGTGTCCTTGTTCATAGCTCGTTCTGAACGGTACCAGCACCTAGATTCAGAAGAAGATGAAGACACAAATGATGATGATCATGTAGAAATTAGGCAGTTCTCATCTTGCTCACCACGGTTCAGTAAGGTAAGGCCATACTAGTTTGTTTAAAATCATAGTCTTATTTAGATTTTTCTGTTAAAGTCATAAGTTGCCCTTTAAAAAAAACAATGTTCAAATAATATGAAGGGGACACATAGTCTTTAACACTCATTGAAGTTAAGCATTTTAGACAGAAAGGACAGTGCACCATGGTTTGTGTCAGCTCTCTGTACTGCAGTAGTTAATCTTCAGTAATGGACTCTGTACACATGGTATTCTGCAACGTTTATTCTAGGTTGCCCTGAAATAACAGGTGTGGTTCAGGAGGTCTCAAAATAGGCCTACTATTGACATTAAATAAAAACCCAGGTCCATTTTGTGACGGGCTCCACATATGGTCCAAATGCTGTTTCACCATGCATGTAAACAGACCTGAACTTGTTCTAAACACTAAGACATCTTCCTTCCTGGGTGGGCCTGTTAGTGTTAATAAGAGTTACATACAGTTCCCCTGTATCCTAGCATCATAGAAATGTAGGGCTGGAAGAGACCGCCAGAAGTTATCATGTCCAGTGCCGTGCACTGAGGCAGGACCAAGTAAAGTTAGACCATCCCTGGCAGATGTTCAACCTGTTCTTAAAAGCCTCCAGTGATGGGGATTCCCTTGGAAGCCTGTTCCAAAACTTAACTACCCTTGTAGTTAAAAAGTTTTTCTTAATAGCTAACCTAAATCTCCCTTGCTGCAGATAAAGCCCATTGCTTCTTGTCCAATCTTCAGTAGACACGGAGAACAGTTTATCACTGTCCTCTTTATAACAGTGAAAGAGAGTATCTCACTGCCCTATTTGAAAGTACCTCGAGGGTTGTAATATTATCCAGTCTGCTCTGTGGACCTGGCTCAGGTATCACCATGGTTTTAACTAGCATTAACTTCAGAGGGGTGGCTCCTGGTTTACACCACTATAAGTAAGACTGAAATTGGACCTGAGAATTAGTTGGGACCTTGAAAAGGTTTTTACAAATCCATAAGTCTTGATTTCCTTTTCCACCTTATCCCCCTGTTATGAGTAGCAATTAATCTGGTAGGCTGCAACTTCGGTTCAGTATTTTTGGCACAAAGAGAGAAAGTTCACTGCAGTACGTTTATGTTTAGATTTAGAAAATGCTGCAACGTCTGTAGAAGGGGAAGAATAAAAAGCTCTATATTTTGAAAAGCTTGTCTGACAATTTAGCCAAATAAATTATTAATAGCTTTCTTGTTGATGTGCTGAATTTTTAATAACAGAATTTTTATTAATCTCACCTTATGAAAATCAGGTCCACAATCAAATACAGTTTTAAAAGCTGTAAAAGGATTTTTTTTTTGTTAATTGGTTAATTATTTAAAATTTCACTGTACAGCAGAGGGAAGCACATTGGTTGAGCTGTGAGCAGCACAGCAAATTCCTTAAAGAGGGCGAGACTCTTTTGTTGAAAAGGTTTAGTGAACTTGGGGCAATATTGATAGAATCACAGTAATGAAATGAGGTCATCAGCAGGATGCTAATGGCAGAGTTGAGTTTGTGTGGTAAGATGTCAAGATCTAGATGTCTGCCTTGAGCCTTCAGCACTTTGTGGAGCCTGTTTAAGCAACTTCTTTAAAATTTTAGCATTAAAATGGCCTTTGTAGCATCACAATTGCATATCTGAGTGCAGGTATTACAGCAGAAGGACATATGTGACAGTTCCAAATCTTGCCTCTTCCCTTCTCCCCGGTGTACGTTGACTGAGCATATCACATCTGTGTTGGGTCCTGCATTAGCTAATCAAAGAACATTGCCAAGTTCAGGTTTTAAACCAAGCTTCCATTCTGGGAGAGAAATACCTTTTGATTAGATAAGGACTTGCAGGACTGTTTGCTACATGCTTCATACAGATGGATCTTAAGTGCTTTTGCTATATGCAGGTGTACAGCAGTATGGAACGTCTTTCCATCCATGAAGAGAGGAAAACACCACCAACTAAGCGCAGTCTCAGTGAGGAAAAAGATGATCGGCTAGACAGCCTCGGTGGTCTGAAAAGTCGGGACCGCAGCTGGGTGATTGGCTCTCCTGAAATGTGAGTTTATTAGACTTGTACTTTTTATTTAATCACAAAGAAGGCTTTTTTCCCATCTACTTTGACATCAGAAACTCTTACAGCTGCAATTCAGTGTAAAATCTCTGTACTACTTGATAGCATCTCATTAAGTGCTAACATTATGTAAGCTTACAGCGAAGATGTAAAATAAAGCAAAAGGTATTCTGCTCGTAAGCAAAGCTTCCTTCCTGAGAATGGAGTCTCAGAGATTGGCCTGAACAAAATTCCCAATCCAAACGTCTCAACCTCCAGGGGTTCAAAATCCAGTTCTCCCCACGTTCTCTCCTGCCACAAATTAGAAAAATATTGGTCTTTCCACAGTTCTGAATACAAGAAATAATTGTGTCCTGTCATCTCTGTTGTTAGCAAAATGTCATAATACTCAAAAAATAGAAATCCCACACACCTCCCTTGTGCCCAGAATGATTGAAATAATTGTCGGATTCAGCTTAATGGAGAAAATAACTACACAAGTTACAGAATGGGGGATCATCTGCTAAAACATGGTGTCATATGGATGCATTTAAGGTGGTTGTGATCTAGAATGTCTTTCCTACATGACACCTTTACTGAAAACACTTGATAGATTACATGTGTAACTAATATAAACTGATCCTGCTCAGGCCTTTCTTGTGCAAAATGTTGTTATAAAAATAAGTCTAAAAAATTAAAAAGAGCATGTAAAAGCATAAGATGATAGGTACAAGTGTTTGCATTTCTGTGCCCTGTTATTGGTAATAACGATTGTTATAATAATTTGTGTCACCTTCATTGCATTAAGAACAGGAGTACTTGTGGCACCTTAGAGACTAACAAATTTATTAGAGCATCGAAAGCTTATGCTCTAATAAATTTGTTAGTCTCTAAGGTGCCACAAGTACTCCTGTTCTTTTTGCGGATACAGACTAACACGGCTGCTACTCTGAAACCTTCATTGCATTGTATTTTGTTTGATTTTGTACTTATCTTAAAAACTTAATAAGGAAAAACAATCCAGATCTGAATTTTGCAAATACCCATAACTTTTAATGGTCCAAACAATAACCCTAAACCAAGCCTCCTCCCCAGCCAAATTGGGAGGCTTGAACCTGGAATCATATTGCTTTGGCTTGAGCTTACTCATTATTTCTGTGCTTGTATACCAGTAACAACCACTTGCTCTTTGGCATTATGAATTATCACAGCCCAACCAGTGACCTGGTCATGCGTTTTTTTCTCAGACTGCGTAAGCGCTTGTCCGTGTCTGAATCCTCACACACCGAGAGCGACTCCAGTCCGCCTCTTACTGTTCGGCGGCGTTGTTCGGGGCTTCTCGACATGCCCCGCTTCGCCATCTCAGCTGAGGAAGAAGGACTTGCCCCCAAAAAGCAACAGTCAGATGGAACGTTACTATCTACAGTACAGTCACGTGAGGGGCTCCCCCTGCCAATTCCAGAACAACCTGTGGAGCGAGAGCTGCACTTACATGAGGACACTGGGCCAACAACACCCGCTTCAACCATCAGCAACATCAGCAGCTCAGCCCTGACAGGTATGCACCTGGTGGGAGGGGATCACTGCCATCAAGAAGTCCATTTTAGGGTGTAAATATTAGTTGCACTAAAATGTGGTTTTATGAGTAACATCTTTCGTTAGTGTTGCATGGTAAATACTGCACTAGTAAATTACTGTGGCTTTGTGTGTTTCTTTAAAGTAATTTTTAATCTCTTAAAACTTGTTTGCTTTACTTCAGTCTAGTCCCTCTTCAAACTCGGCAAGGTTGCCCAGCATTTGCAAGACCCTGTTGCGTGTAACTTTACAAAATGTTAACTGTTTGGGCTGAAATTTCCCATGCCGGGTGTCTGCCTCGGGCTGAATTTTTAGGAGAATTTTAGCCAAAACAGTTCAGTTGTTTCCAAGAATAAGGTTAGGGGGAAATTTAACATGTTTTGCCCATGTTTTAAAAAAAAAAAAAAATCTGGTAACCTTTTTTTGAAAAGCTGTAGTGCCTCCCTTCTTTTGGAGCAGAGACTTGACCTTTGACATCCCAATAAAACCCCGCCAAGTTGTAAGCCATTAAAAAAATGGCAGTTTGCACATGCTCAGTAGAGACTTCTTAGATTTTAACACCTAAATTCTCAGAACATTCCATCTGTGCTGGGCAGGACTGTATCCGAAATTGTAGCTCTAGGCTGCTGCAGGCTGTGCCAGGTCCAGACCCCGGACTTGGGAGCAGGGAGACTCTCTCTCCTGTGCTTTCGGTGACCCCCATGCTGGGCCCAAGCAGTATGGAGAAGGAGGCTGCTTGATTTGAATACGGGATAAGAGCAGCATCGGAGCAGGGAGTAGATTGGGAGAAGGGGCTGGGGTGGGACAGAAAATTGGACTGGAGGTTGATGAGAAAGAAGGACTGGGGTGGGGAATGGGACTGTCCGGGAAAGGAAGCTTGGACTGGGAGCTAGAGTAAGGGGGCTATGCCTGGTGAGGCAAGGCGACTGGGATGAGAATCCAGAGACTGAACTGGAGGGGGCAGTAGAAGCCAGTAGGTGTGGGGAAGACTGAGATCAGATGAGGAGCCTGGGAGCGGGGCAGAGAATGGGACTGGCTGGGTTAGGAGGTTGAGACTGAGAACCAGTGGAGTAGGGAGAAGGAGATGATGGGAGAGGTAAGACAGATCGGACAAGGAGCCAGAGTGTGTGGGAGAGAACCGGGACTGGCTGGACAAGGAGTTGGGAGAAAAACAAGGAACAGCTGATGGAGAGGGGATTCAGATGGAGAGTAAAGAGGGATGAGACTTGGGCAGGGCAAGGAGACTGGGACTGGGATGAGAAGCCTGAGAAGTGGAGACTGAGACTGTCCAGGGTGAAGAGAATGGGACTGGGACAAGGAACCAGGGGAGGGGAAGAGACAGGACTGGGACAGAGACTGGTTGGAGGGGACAGGGCAGAATGGGTCAAACTCAGAGGAAATAGGCAGAAGCATCTGTGCCCACTAGAGCACACTTCCTTCCAAGCCTAGAATGTAACTAAGAATTCTCAGTCTCACCATTCCTCTGAAATCTTCGAAATCCACAGGCAAAGTGTCCCATACCTCTCTAATGGTGATCGACATAGAGGATTACAACCTACTACTGCTATCGGTTACTCTGTTAGCTCAAGTAACAGAGGTCTGTGCAGTGGATCTAAAGGTCCCAACCCTGCTGATGACCCCTGGGGATGTTAATATGATGTCGCAAGACGGAGTTTGTTTTTTCAGCTTGCTTCATTAAAAACCTCGGAAATTACCTACCAAAAAACTGTTTTAAAAGCATTGTTAAAGTTACAAAGTCAAGCACTCAAAAGATAGTAAATGGCAGAATTAAGATTGCCTATACAACCTTAATTTGGCTCCCTTGTGCATTTACGTTATAACGGTCTTTAATTACATGATCACATACTATATTTTCCGCAGGGCCCCTGCCTCATACAGTGCACAGGACAGATCTGCTGTAGGGATTAATCAGGGTTGTGTAGTGAAGGAGACTATTGTCTATAGACCCCTGCTTCATTTGTTTCAGAAGTTGGAAGGTGTGGAGTCAATGAGGCAGGGAACTGCAGGAAGAGAAAAGACAGTATCATGGTCATAGATGAATGCTTCCCTGGAGAACTGGATTTTATCCCTGCCTCCGCCCCAGAGTTCCTATGAGATGCCGGTCCAGTTGCTTAAACCAAACTTTTCCCAGATGGTCACTTATTGTGGTGTTCCTCCTTTTCTGGGTGCTGACTTGAGGTCTGGGGTCTGATTTGAAGAAGTGCTGTGCTCACAGTTGCAACTTAAGTGTGAGCTTTGAACATATGAAGTGCTATATAATACTAAGTCCTCTGAAAAATTAGCTCATCTGCACCTCAGTTTGGACAATCATAATGAGTGAATACCTTTGACTGTAATCGCTCTCTGCCTCAGTTCCTCAACTGTAGAATGGGGATAATAACCCCCCATGTTTCCCAGGAGTGGTTTGTGAAGCACTCAGTTATTATAGTGATGGGCACCATAGAGAAGCCCAGGAGGAAATTAATAATTCTGTCCTCAGAGAAGGGTTTGAACAGTGTGTAGTAGGACAGGCCTGGGACCATACCTTGAACAGAGAAGATCAAATATTGAACACCTGCTCACTACGTGAGCACCATCCATTCTGTACACTGAATGAGGCAGGGTCCTGTGGAAAAAATAGTATGTGATCATGTAACAAGACCAGTAGTTCTCAATCTGCAGCCCGTGGGCTGCTTGCGGCCCAATCAGCACCCAGCTGCAGCCCATGTGACGGCCGCAGGGCCATACAGGTAGCATATATAGTGTGTGGATGTGGCCCATATAACAGAGAAGCTGCATATGCGGCCCACAATGGTAAATAGGTTGAGAACCGCTGAATTAGACTGTACCATCATAATGCATACACACAAGGGGGCTGAATTAAGATTGCACAAGCAAACTTAATTCTGGCATTTCCTAATTTTTGGGTTCTTGACTTTGCAATGTTAATTAAATTCTTCTAATGTAATGTTTGTGCCTCCTTCTCCCCCAAAACATCTGCTTCCAGCCTGTGTCGAAAGCCAGGATGCTGGGCTAGATGGACCACTGGTCTGACCCTGTATGGCCGTTCTGTAAATAGCATAAAACCTAGTTCAGTTGTTGCCACCTTTAAGGTTGACCGTTCTTGCTGGTAATAAAAATAATGAGAGTACTTCCTCAAACCTCCCCTGGTTATTTGCCATATAAACAATTCTGTCTAAATGGCTTACTACTTTAAAGCTGTGCTATAGAGTTAGGCTTCATCTAATTTTATTACTGCAGCAACTTAGTTTCAAGAACTGGCTTTCCAACAAAAGAAATCAGGTAATTCTCAGCATACAGAAGAACGCCAGTGGTTATAAATTTCTATAAATAAGCACTCAAGCCCTGGGCTTGCGTCTGAGGAAAATTCACTGTTGGACTACATGTAAACATGACTTTGATTTCATATATTTTGCCTGCGGGGGAATATGCTGTTAGGAATTCCCCATGGTTCTAATCTACTTTAATTTAAACTGTAGCCGGGAGCACTACAGATTTCTCTGATCAGCGCATTCGTAGCAATAGCAATGAGGGTCCAGATTTTACCACTCCAAAAGCCATCAGCGACTTGGCAGTACGGCGGGCACGGCACCGGTTGCTCTCTGGGGAATCGGGGGAGAAACGTACCTCGAGACCTGTCAACAAAGTGATTAAATCAGCATCAGCTACAGCCCTCTCCCTCCTAATTCCCTCAGGTAAGAAATAAGCCACATTTAGATATTGTAAAAATGTGAATGCCTTGAACAAAAGACCTGCAGACAGGACCTCTATGTTTTTCTGCTCCTGCCAATAAAGATATTGTTCCTGAAGGAAGAGGAATTGGGACTCCTGCATATTTGCCACTTACATGGAAAAGGAGTATTATTTTTCTGAAGGCGGAGATGTACTTGTGATCTTGTGACTACAGATACCATAAATGACAGCTGTGTCTCATTGTCTCGATAGCAGCTTCTTTTGTTTAAATTGGCTCCCAAGAACTTTGGCTGGTCTCTAGACAAGGATGCAGCAAGAATATCTATTAAAATTACAGACAAAACAAGTTTAACCCTTTTGCTGCTACTTCTCTGGACCCGATATCCCTAACATTTTGTTGAAATCATACATATCTGGCGCATTCAGTTTCCAGGAATGTTCAGATGAGAGGGTTAAATACATTTAAGTAAGTTAGTACCAAACGGTGTGTATATAGAGATATGGATATATCTTGATAATTTTTGGCACCAGATTGTGTCATGCATTAGAAGCCTCTGTCAAGCAGGGGTAGAAAGGCCCATGGTTCAGCAGACTCTCTGGGAGGAATTCTTGCTTTGTGCCCACTACCTCCCAGCTCAAGGCCTTACTGGAAGTCCCAGGGACTCTCTTGTTCCTGCCTAGTAGGAGACCAGGAACGTCCCTGCAATTTGCAGCCCAACCAACTGTGCCAGTGTGCCAGGCCAGCACAATATCCTGGTACAGCAATACCAGCGATCATGTCTCTGTTGGAACCTGGGAGACAGATAGAAGATTGCTGTTTGGCTCCATTGTGATGACTTGCATTTCATTTCCTGCCGTTTGAGGGTTGATTGGTTTTCTAACTACCAGCTCCCTCATGAAATTCTCTAAAATGCTTATTTAATTATCCAGTGGAGGCCCCGACAGAACTGTTCTCATCTGTCAGGTAAATACGTAATAGATGGCTCAGCAGGTGTTTCTTAATGGTCACTTCGTGGCAGTTTTTCCTAGACGAATACAGGAGTTGTGTATTCAGTTCATATTTTTTATGTTTTGTAATGTAAATTATTTTATCAGCTTATCTAAGTAGAGTAAGACTATTTTAATACATGTGCTATTGCTAATAATATGAGTAACAACTGTAATAGTTTTTAGCCAATAGGCCAATTGAATCACACCCATGTAAGAGGGGAGCTGGGTTCTGCAGCTGCTCATTTGTAATATTATTTTTAAATCATTACAATGCTCCTGCATTGGCTACCTACTACTTGTAAATATTTTGCCCCTTCTGAATTAAAACCCCCACAACTTCCTTGAGCCAGTAGTAATCCAACCTCATATCAAATTTCATTTTTTAAATCCAGGTTGGTTTTGAGTTACATTGGGCAGACAAGTGACCCACACCATGTTGACTATTTATTTGAATAGTATATTCTCTAATCTAGAAACTGTCATCCCATATATATAAAAGCAGGCATCTATATAAAATATAGTAAAAAAAATCTTTGGTGGACTGAAACTGTATACTCCAGGATTCTACCTGGAGCAAATATTTATGGTTGCATAATGAATCCCTGAAAATAGCTTTTCAAAATGGACACGTTGGCCCAGCTGTAATTCTAGATGACAAACAACAATGCTGTACTAAGTACACAATAAGAAGCACTCACTTTTTTGGAAACAGCATTGATTTTGACCTTTCAGAGCACTTATTAATTAAAAAGACTGCAGGAAATGAACCTTGATACCTTTGATACTAAAGGAATTTTTAATGCCGCTTTCACTAGCTTTATAAAAACGTAAGGAAGATTTCATTTCCTATTAGAATTTTAACAGGAGTTATATTTCCCTTTGAAGGTCAGGCTTTCTAATTTGCACTCCTTTGTATCATCACTGTAGATCACCACACTTGTTCCCCATTGGCTAGTCCAATGTCACCTCATTCTCTGTCCTCCAACCCATCTTCAAGGGACTCCTCACCAAGCCGAGACTTTTCTCCTGCTATCACAAATCCCAAACCACCAATCATTATCCATCGGGCTGGAAAGAAATACGGCTTTACCCTTCGTGCTATTCGAGTCTACATGGGGGATACTGACGTCTATGCTGTGCATCACATGGTCTGGGTAAGTCACTGTTTTTCTAATAAGAATGCTCTTAGGGGCCGGGAATTCTTTCTTTCAAGATTGCAGGTTTAACCTGTACTCTGTCCTTTGCTGCCATGTATCCCCTCTCCTAATTCAGACCCAAAGGAGTCTTTTGACAGACAAAATCTTTAAAAACCCTAAGGGTTGTTTCAGCAGCAGTTCAACCCCGTCACAAAAATCACAACAGCTTTTTCCTTTTTCCACCACTGGTAACGTAGGTCTGCCTCCTTTTACCAGAAGTGCATACGTTAAAGCATGTGTCTTTGTGCAACTCCTCTTGCTCTCTATTGGGGTTGTCACATGAGGGTCAGTTACAGCTAATTCATCCTGAGCTGTATAAGCAGTGATAGTTTGCTTCAGATCAACCCAGTCTGCTGGAATTTTCAAGACAGCCACTTGGAGTTGATTACATGCCTTAAACCATCAGTGCCTTTACATTGATTGTCCAGCCATTTGACATTCAGTTTAGCTGTGTATTATGCCAAGGGATCTTACTGGCTGTTTCTCCATATCTCTCTTCCTTCCCCTTACACAGTATACGATCTATGTGATCTTTCTTTGGCAATGTATATGACTGTTAACCATAATCATTTCCCCCAAAATGGTGTATATTATTTAAAATACACTGTTTTAGAGTTATAAGAGAGGGTGGAAGGGAATGGTTTCTTAATATCCTTCTATATCAGTGTTTTGCAGACCTCATTAGGAGAGCCAGTCTTTGTATGTGGTGATCATTGTTTGATGCTGATCATTAAGTAGAAAAATGATCTGGAACTGGATTTTTCTCATAATGATAGTAGCTTCCCGTGGTCCTTTCTGTCTGCCCTTGAAAAATTCTGTATTTATTAGCACTGTGGTTTGCAACCTCTTCAGTCCATGTTGAAGAGAGAGCTGCTGCAACAAGTTACACCTCACCTTAAGGTTGCAGGCCCCTATTTTGAGGTGTGGATGGCAGCATCACCAATGGGGGAGAAGCCTTATGGGATCATCAGGGCGTCACAGTTTAGAAAGTACTGTGCTAAATGATGGGAGGTGGGAAAAGAATTTGTTTGGAGTCAGATGCATGATATGTACAATCTCAATGCCTGGAAACTAGTCTGACGGGAGAATGAGGCTACAAGACTTTTTAGCCAGCTTCCAACAGATGGGCTCCAGGATGTTTAATTCTGAAGCTCAGTGGACTTAATTTTTTATATATTTATATGGATATCAAGAATATTCAGAGCGATAATATAATGACCAAAAATTTGCAATGACACTTAACCTCATGGTTCAAGGCTTAAGCCAATTTCTAACTCTACTTAGAGATCAGGATGAGACCGGTGGGGCGCAGATTATCCCACATCTACTCTTGTGGGGATCTTACACCTTCCTATGAAGCATCTAGTATTGGTCACTGTTGGAGATAGGATCCTGGACTGGATGGACCTCGGGTCTGGTCCGGTCCCGCTGTTCCTATGTTCCTGTGTATTTTCAAGTAAATAATTTCCCTGTCATTGCCAGCATGTGGAAGAAGGAGGTCCTGCTAATGAAGCAGGTCTGCGGGAAGGTGATCTGATAACCCATGTCAATGGAGAGTCTGTCCATGGACTGGTGCATACTGAAGTGGTGGAACTGATCCTGAAGGTAGGGCCGGAACATGCTTGTATTACAGAATGTGGACAGTACATACCTAAAAACTGATTTAAAACCCATTTAGTATCTGATTGTCAGAGGATTGTTTTAAATGCAAGTTAAATACCTGGCTCCTAACATTAGCCTTTGCTTTAATCCCATTGCCAGGTAGAAATTATAAGTCTCTCCCAAAGTCTCCAAAAGTGTCTTGTTCCGCTTTAAACTGACATTCCATTAATGTTTGTGGAAAGTAAGGGCCTATCGGGTATAGTTGGCACCAGAAGAGATGCTCATTTGTTTGACTTTAATGATGAATTTGAAAGCAGTAAACAGGTTAATATGGTGTAACTATAATAACCCCCCTGTATCATTTTAACAAACAAACACCCTCACATTTTTCCCATTAATTTTGTTTTGCTTTAGGCTGCTAATGTGATTAGCTCTTAATACTATTTTCTCAAGGATTATTGTCACCAGTGTTTAAAAGAGGCTTTGTAATAGCTGGTCTTGAAAGTATTTAGCTAAATGACTTTTATTTTGATACCTCCTTGTGTGCTGACTACATTTATGGAAATAAAATAAACCCTTTAACAGTTCCAAAAGACAGGCCTTTGGTAGGGTTTGCACACATGGAAGAAATGAGGTATTTTTCTTATACGAGTTGAGGGGATCAGGCTAGTGCTTTTAGACACCATCAGTGTAGATTCACGCTGATGGATGCCTGATGCATCTCAGGATATCTGTCAATCTGTCAGCATGAAGAAAGGGTCAGGCACATAAGTAGGGAACAGGTTTGGGTGCCAAAGAATGCTGCTTTGTCTGAATTTCTAGAAGGAAGATTGTTGTAGTTCTCATTGGTAGTATGTATTGGCACCATCACCATATCATCTTGGTGCCTTACAAGGCGTAAGTTGAGGCATTCAGGATCTCAGTAAGAGAGGTCAAAGCCCGTGCAGCTTCTGCTCTGTGCAGCTGTACCAGTTAGCTAGGAAACCAAGATTTAATCTGTTGTGAAAGTCTGACTAAAGAGGTCCATATTACTGCTCTAGATGAAGACTCAAAGAGGAAAAGGGGATTAGTCAAAGGAGTAAAACATGTCAGCTTGTGATAAATTAGCAATCCACTTGCTCAACACCTAGAACTGCCAAAAGCAATCTTATTCTATACAACGGCCATCTCTTGTATCCGACAGAGTGGAAATAAGGTATCTATCTCCACTTCCCCATTTGAGAACACATCAATCAAAATTGGGCCAGCTCGGAAGCCCAGCTACAAATCCAAGATGGCTCGAAGGAACAAGAAAAGCAAAACTAAAGATGGGCAGGAAAGGTGAGCTTGATTTAAAAAAAAAAAAAAAAAAAAAAAACCTGTGAAAATTAAATGCTCCCAAGGTAGGTAGACCTTGTCAAAGCAATTTCCGTGTAATAAGTTTATGTCAGCACACATTGTTACTTACCTCACGCGTCTACACTGAGTGAGGGAGATGTGCCTGCAAGTGTAAATAGATCTTGTGGTTTGACAAATGAGTAACTTTTAATTCATCTCCCCAGTAAGAAGAAGAGTTCTTTGTTCAGGAAGATCACAAAGCAGGCATCATTTCTGCACACCAGCCGTAGTTTATCTTCACTTAACCGCTCGCTGTCTTCTGGAGAAAGTGTTCCCGGTTCTCCAACCCACAACCTGTCCCCTCGGTCACCTACGCAGAGCTACAGATCTACTCCCGAGTCTGTACATTCAGGTAAAAGAACTGTTTATAGGGGGGATTTTAATTTTTAAATGCTTCATTTTTAAAGGAAAATACAAAACAGACACTAAACCAAATATTGAGTTTACATTTATTTGAACTTCAAACCAGCAATTGCTGTGTATGTCTTATTTTGCTGTGGGTAGATAAAAGTTTAATCATGAAAAAGGTCAGTCTTTGTTCATTATGTATGTGGGTGGATCTTTTAGCAGTGCAAATGTGTGGTGTAAGTTATGATCTTTCCACAGTATTTTGCCTTTTTTTTTTTTTAATAATACATAAGAGAGAAATAGTTGAAATGTGGAAAAAATCATAGCTGAAAATTTCAGCAGTAGACAGAGAATTTTAAGAAACTTGCATACTGACAATAACAATAAAATGCATGGTTTTATATACATATGGTTTAATATGGTAGTAACAGAATGTTTTCTCACTGAGTTTCTGGGAAATACCCTGTAGTATTTTCTGATACTGATTATGTGACAATCACATAGTAGCTATACTGGAAACAACGGTATGCCACCTTGTAGTATCTTTACTATAATACCTTGGGGTAATGTGACAAACAGCTCTTCTTACCATTGTACAAGCATAGCATGAATGTTTTTAATTATAAAACACAGTAAAAAAAAAAAATCCCTTTCTCTTTTTTTCTTTTTTTTAAGTTGGTGGAAATTCTTCCCAGAGCAGCTCCCCCAGTTCCAGTGTTCCCAACTCTCCAGCCAGCTCTGGACACATCCGACCCAGTTCTTTACATGGACTAGCCCCAAAGCTTCAACGACAGTATAGATCTCCGAGGCGTAAATCTGCGGGAAACATCCCTCTCTCACCACTAGCTCACACTCCCTCACCAACCCCACAGTCCACATCGCCACAGCGTTCACCTTCTCCTTTGCCAGGGCATTCAGTAGGCAGCTCCAGTATTATTCAGTCCTTTCCTGTAAAATTACATTCCTCCCCACCTCTGGTAAGACAGATCTCCAGACCCAAAAGCGCTGAGCCCCCCAGGTCTCCTTTGCTGAAGAGAGTCCAGTCAGCTGAGAAACTGGCTGCCTCGCTGTCCTCCGAAAAGAAGCTGGCTTCCTCTCGCAAACATAGCTTGGATATCTCCCACTCTGAATTTAAGAAGGAGATGCTACAAAGGGATCCTAGTCTCCAAAGTTTACAGGAGTCTGTGAATGAAGCAACAGGAGGTAAAGTTGGGCTAGCGGAAAAAGGGACACTGCAAAAGCCATCTTCCAGGAAGCTAGGTGCTATTCGACAAGACAGAGTAGAGAGGAGAGAGTCGCTACAAAAGCAGGAGGCCATTAGGGAAGTAGATTCCTCTGAAGATGAAACAGATGATGGTTCAGAGGATAGTCAAGATGGGAGAAGATTGGAGAGGCAACCCTCCAGAGGAGAACAGGGCTCCAACTCTTTTAATGATGATAATAAGTTGTCTTCTAAACTGGATAGCAAAGACAATATAGAGGACGACGCTTTTCTAACCGATGATCCAAAAGGTACAGCAGACTTGCAGAAGGTAACTAAGCGGCCACCTACGGCTGTCTCAGAGGCACTGCAAATTAGCATACCCCAGTCAGAGTCAGAGAGTCTTACCAGAACGTCTCCAGGAGAATCTGGCAAATATGAAAAGCCACCTCCAGGATCAGGAACAACAGCAGAAGAGCATAAATTGTCAGAAAGCAAACCCTTTGAGCACATTAGTCAAGAAGATGCCTCTTATGCGAGCATCAAATGCACTGGGGGGAAAAGTATAGATTGCATAGAAGATACAAAGTGCCCACCTGTGGGATTCCTTCAGTTTGAGCAAAGCCACTCTTCAGGGGAGTCACATGGTAAAGATGCACCAAAGGAGTCTGTGTTAACAGGAATCAGTCAAAAAAAGCAAGATACTAAACCTTCACTAGCACTTTCTTCTTGTTGCACAGCAGGTATAAATTCTCCGCTATCAATAAGCCAAACGGACTGCAGAGAAACAGATCACAAACAAGAACTTCAGTCTACAGAACAAAGCAACAGATTTCAACATCTGGCAAATGTAAATGAAACATCTCCAAAAAGTCCTACTGCTGAAAAACAGCAAAGCTCGTGCCATGCAGAGGGCTCTTCACAAGACAAGAATCAATTAAATGCTAGGAAAATTAGCCCAAGTAATGCAACAGGTGCTGCACCCTCAACTCCCCATGTCTCAAGTTCCGGTGAAAAGGCCCTTTCGGTGTCTCAGTTAGAAACTGTAGCTCAAAGTATGTTGGGCCCAACGAAGCTTGACGTGTTGGATACTAGAAAGCTGGAAACTGATAAAGAGTCCCCGCAAATGGACCTGTCCTGTAAGAGAGATTCACAACAAAGAAGGCAGGAAACCTCTGGGTTAAAGGTGGGATTAGATCAAGAAAGAGCGAAACCTCTTAGCAGAGACAATCTTACTACAACCTGTGCACCCTACACAGAGTCAACAAGTCCAGCAAAGTCTGGGGAGCCAGCATGTTCTCTGACAGCAAAACAAAAGCCAGGTTTTGGCGGTTCTAAAGCACTTGAAGCCTTGGGGGATAACAGGAAAACTTCTCCATCAAAAGATCTTCCACACACCCCTGGAAGACAGATTCTTAGGGCATCTCCTCTGCCAGATGGCAGTCTGAAGCTCTGTAAAGAGGAGACACTGGTGCAGGAAAAAAGCAAAGAGGCTGGAGGTCAGTTAAAAATACAAGACTTTCCGTTGTCACATGATAATGTTGTCAAGAAAACATAGCAGAGTCCCTGGAATACGTGCACTCGAGTATTCTACCTTCAGACATAGACTGCATGCTTGAATTTTGTAATATACACTAATACGAAATAGAACTGTGTACATCTATTTTTGGGAGGGTTGTTTTTTCATACTGCTTTTTGCATTTTTTTCCATCCTTGCAATTCTATTTTTGTACACGCTGTGCTTGCCATTTGAGGTCTCTTTGGAACAGGGTATCTTTAAAGCAGAGCTATGAAATAGTTTGCTGACTTTTTTTTCTTTATTTTGCCCTGAGTTTGGGGTGTGCTGTGCATTTCCCTCCAGTTCGGCATTTATTTCAGATCCCAAAGAATTTTCTGTGCAAAATAGGCAGCTGACATTAAAATCTCTCACTTTTTCAACTTTCTCTTTCAAATTGCATTCACTCTTTCCCAAATTTTTCAGATATTTACAAGCCAGTTTTCCCTATGGCAAGGAGAAAAAAATTACCTTGTTAATAGGTTATCCTGCACATTCAAGCCCTCTTCCGTGCAACCCAGATCCTCTTTTTCTCTGTCACTTTACATATCCTCCAGTCCCACACATATCTTAGAGTTCATTCCCTCTACGTTGTCAGTCTGGGGTGCAGGGAACAGTCCTATATTTTTTTTTTAAACATTATTTTTTAAAAACCTGTTTCTCAAATGAAAGCTCAAAGAAGCAAGTCTCCAATCTGTAGCATGTTTTGCTGGGATGGTTTGTTTTTACTTTGTTTTACAGGACGCAAGGCACCTCTCTCCTCCATCTTTTAACATTTTAATTGAGTTTTCTCCCACCCTTTGCTGCCTGCCTTTCTAGTCTGTCCTGATCCACAACAAATAGTGACACCACATGGAGGGACATGGTTGTTTTTAAAATAATAATGCTGATAATTGTAGCACCCTCAAGTATGCCCCAAGTAATGTTAACTTCATGACATATGGGTATTGGAGACCTCTCCCTCTTTGGATGGATCTAAGTAGTTCATCTAGGGGAGCTTAAGTGTTCCTGCCAGTTCTGAAACAGAGCTTGAGAAACCCAGCAAGGGTTCTGAATTTGCCTTTCTTCTCAGAGAGTGCTATGAAGTGTTGTTACCTTTGACTCATTAAGTTACGTGGATGAGCTGCAAACAGACTTCAAAACAACACACATGGTATTTCAAGATTTTACCTTTGGTAGCTAGACCAGGTCCACTGCTCAGTTCACCTGGTTCCATTAAGAATTACTATGATCTCCTGGGTTCTAGCATTTCTTTGCTTTAAATGTGACCAGTTCTGAATAACATTATTTTTGGGATGATCAGATCTGTAATAAAACGCTGACAAATATGTAGTATAACATATCTCTGGCATTGTAAGCCATTTCCTTACTCGAGCCAATTAAAGCCTACTGTCAAAGAATGCTACTATCATTCATCATAGAATGCTCTTGGCTTTCACTCCAACCTTGTCTGAGTATATCTGTGTGTGGATAGCCTACAATAGCTGGTTACCCCGTACATTGGTGTACTTTGATCGGAACATTTCTGAATGGTGACTGCACTTGCAGCAGTACACCAGACAAAGAGTCGCATCTATTGGTCCAATTTCATTATACTGCTTTTTTCCATTATGAAAACCTCTTGTGCACTTTGAATTTCTACTTATTTTCCCTAAATGTATCTTTTGTATAGGAATACAATTTTCCCATCTCTCTTTCAACCTAATTTAATTCATGATGCACAAATCCCAAGAATCTCTGAATTCCTTGTCCTGCCTTTTTCTCTGTAACCATTTATTTCATTTTGTAACTGATTTTGGATGCTGAGATTTCATTTTTGGACCAACTTTTGTTTTGGGGTTCTTTTTTATATTCAAGTAACCGTTTACTCTGTGTGTGTGTGTGTGTGTGTGTGTGTGTGCGTGTGCGCGCGTGCGCATTTACTGTAGAGCTGTTAAGAATGCACAAGCTTCTTAATGCACTAAGAGAAGCATCAACACTCCCAAGCAATTCATAAATAGCTCCAGCAGAGACTGTGTTAAAGGTAGACGTACTATGTCTTTGATCCTCGCACTGGACTGCATGAGCTAGTCAAATGCACATGGGTTTGTAATTGTAAACTGCGACCTTTGTACCACCCAAGCAGAGTCCTTCATTACCAACCGCTTGAAGCACTCTTTATTTTGATCAGCATGTCATCCTGTGTTGATTTCAAGACAATAGTGAGTGCAGGTTTTGCTGATGATAACTGATCTGACTGGGCTTCTTCCCAGTTGGTTGATCCATTAAGAAGTTTTCAAGAAGAAAGGTCCAATTGGCAATACAGACTAAAATAAAATGTGCATAGTCAGAAACTAATCCTCTAAGAAATGCCCAATAATTTTTGGAAAATCTATTAAATTTAATAACTTCGAAGATATGAACTTTTACCATGGGGATAGCCTTGTAATGGGAGTGCTATATAATGTCTGGCTTGGGTATCAGAGTTATATACGAAGCACACCTAGATCTCATGGGAGGTAATTTATATTAAGATATAACCCAAATGGTCTTTCTATGAACATATAAAATAAGCAATGAATCTTCCCTCTCCCATGGGACTCATCAGTTGGGTGGATGACAAATTGCCCATGAAAAATAATGCAGTATAATTTGTGTGTGAATAAACAGCACTGTGTCTAAATGGTCTGTCAATTCTAGTCTATTAAGAGCGTTGTGACCTTTTGCTCAGATATGGAGGGGGTCAGAGCTACTTGTCTGGGAGGTTACCAGGGAAGCTCCCAGAAGGCATAGCACACTACAACAGACTGGAGAGTACTAGTGCTTTAGCAGCTTGCCTCTCCTGTCTTTGAAAATAAGATTTGTTACAGTGAATTTCAGTTTTATCGCTCCCTAAGTAATCACAGCTGAGCAGAGGAGGATTGTGAAGGAGCCTGACACATTTCAGCTTTGGCCAAAGAAAGTGTAAGGTGCATATTTAGCCACCCGATGGCTGTATAGCAGATGCAAAACAATAGGTTCAAGTTTAAAAGTCCACCATTTGAAAGCCCAGGTAGACTGATGTTACCAGAAAAAGGTCCATTACTGGTGCAGCCCCACAGTCCCTATCCCTTGTCAATTGGAATTTCTGTCGCCCAGGGTGCCAAGTACGCACAGTCCCCACTCTGTTACCTGATGTCACTCTGGCGACTTTTAGCAAAGCTCTTGCGAAAAGCTGAGAGAAGATTTCCATGGAAAATTGTGATGATGAACCAGATATGTGCCAAGATTTATCACTGTCTGGCTGAAAAACAAAATCATAACTTAAAGAAATAGTCTTCTGCCCCCATCTTCGAGATGGGCGAGATGAGACATTGGAAATGAATATCTGGGGGGGGGGGGGGGGGTGTATGTTAGTATGGTTTTTCAGAGTGCAGCTGAGTATCATTCTGGCTATACAGAAGGGGAGTGTGTGTGTGTGTGTGTGTGTGTGTGTGTGTGTGTGTGTGAGAGAGAGAGAGAGAGAGAGACACGTAACCATCTAAGCATGTTACTTTCCTGAGGTTTTTTTTTTTTCATTTTGTTTGTGGGTTTGGGTGCGAGTTGTTTGGTTTTCTTTTAGTCATTTTGGTTTTGGAATTTACCATATATAATTTGTTCCCACCCTTGTCATCCTTTTTTATCTCTATACCCAGCCGATGCATTCCTGCAGAATGCTTCATTTCAGTGTTATTTTCCCTCTTGCCTTTTAACTGTAGCATCTAAGAAAAATGAATATTTATTGTAAATATTAGACTGTAGCATTGTAATCACCACTCCTGGGGTTGAATGCCAGAGGCTTTTAGCATCCAGTATCCTAAGAATGCTTGCTGGGGGATGGGCAAAAGGCGTGACCTGTGGTCTTGACATCCACACTGCATTAAGGTGTGATTTAGATTTTTTTTCTTCCTGCACGGGGAGGATAAAGTCTTTTCTCTGGTTTTCTCTTGCTGGATGTGAAGGATAATGCTGTACTTCTAGTAGAAGATTTTGACAGACATGTGTGTTTACGTTGTGTTCAATTATCATATCCAGGCGGCTGTCAGTGCGGCTTTGAAGCTGACCTCTGGTGTCAAGCTGTGTTACTCAGCACTTGGCGAGATAAGAGGAAGATGTGGAATTTAAGTGTTTTTAGAAACTTGAACAATTGCCACATAATAGCGGTGCAATAATTTTTATTCATGTTGTACCTGCATGTTGATGTTTAAATCCTCCTCCAAAATAAATTTTTTTACATAAATACAAACTCTTTGTTTTTCTTCATTTTCTGTCTCCTATTTTAAATCTTCTACAGAAGACGCAGGCAGCATTGCCATGCGTTTCATGCTGCCAACTAAAAAGTCTATTTAGCCTCATTGTGTGCTTTGAGGCTCTTATACTCAACTGAATCCCCAGCCCCCAGCATAAGGAGATGCTGCAAAGTAACAGCAAGTTGGTGACATCAAGATAAATCCAAAGCTCTCTGCAAGTTCTTCTCAGATTTTTTTTTTTTTTCCTGCTTGGATCAGTTGGCTACATAAGCCAAAAGTTTCCTCCTTTGCACAAAACTCGCCTTCCCCCACTGAGATCCTTCGTTCGTGTCCTAAGTGACTGGTTAGTGTAGAATCCCTTGGGTGGGCTCAGACCATTCCCATCACTGGAGCTTATAAGGAGATACACAAGGAAGGAAAAAACTCTTAGTTGAGCTACAATAGAAAGCAAAAAGCAACAAAACAAGAAAAGGGAGGGGGGCAGGGTCATGTAACCCAGCATAATCTATTTTAACAAAAAGATAAAAATAAAATCTAGCTCCTCGCCATTATGATGGTGGTGCTCACCACCATAACCTCTGAGCCTTCAAGCTCAGAGGAAGCTGGCCGCTTTCTGCCATGGCATAGCCCTCCTGATACAGACATGGATCAACATTGTGGGACAGAACCAGTCATTGGAACAAAATCAAATAGAACATGCATTATTTCATCTATATTTTATACAGCTTATACTGAACGATTATATACATACATGTGCATATGCATATATACAATGCCATAAATGTTGTGTACAATGTATGCATGTGCTTGAGGAAGCTGTGCCTGAAATTATGATGTAGATGCCATAGCAAACAGCTAAAGCATTGGTAGGACACAATGGTGTGCTATGACCCATTGTAACAAGGCAGAAAGGTTAGCATCCTGAGCAGAAATTACTTGACCATCCCTTCTGTACTTACTTTATCCATAGAGGCACTGAAGTATAAAGTATCACAGTACGGCACTCTGAACCTTTTTGGCAGTAAATGGTCCTAAAACACTAAACTGCAGTATTTGACCTAGAAACTGTGCACTCCTTCAGTGTAGCCTTTAGGATCTCCCCTAACTTCTTTTAGGAGGGATGGGCATAATTCTAAAATCAGTTGTGACTGAGCTGAGCTCACTGGTCACTTTTGTTTGCTCCCATTAATGAGGTCAATAAGAATAGATTTAAAAATATTATTAAAGCTATTGTTAAAAAAATTATATAATAGGTTGAGAAAAGAATGTCTGTACATCTGGGTATAGTGCTTAGATTATCCACAAATCCACAAGTTATGTTTTTTAAAAGTCATATGATACATAGAGTACATAATCAGCAATAGCCCAAATTTATGTGAATAGATTTAACAATACAGTTTAAATATTAGAATCTGAATACTCGGGTACATCCCTCATGAAAAGTTGTACAGAGATTTGGTTGTGGAAAGCAAAATATATCAATGAGTGGAGATTGTCCCTCGGTAATTGAGAATTAGGTTGGTTGTCCATTTAGAAAATACAATCCATGAGGAAAGTATTTGTTACTTTCCTGACTGCGCTTCTCATCGGCACTCCAGCTCATCCCTCCTGGTACTGCCAATGTCCAGTGATGTGTTCTATGTAGATGTCCCTCGACCACCTGATGGTGTCAGACACCATGGTTTGCCGCATCAGCCAAGCGTAGCGTTGACTGATTCTGCATTCTCTCAGCACTCGCTCGTGTACGACCTTCTTCCTCATTCCTGAGCAATTGTTGCTTAATGTACCAAGGGTGAAGTCCTGAGCTCACTGACATCAATAGGAGTTTTGCCATTGACTTAGGCCTGGTCTACACTAGAGATAGGTCAATGTAAGGCAGTATAGTCAACCTAATTCTGTAAGCGTCTATGCTAAAATGTAGCTCCCACCGATGTAACTCGGCCACTTCACCAATTGAATAGCTTCACCTCTGTGAGAGGCGCAGCGCTTAAGTTGATGTAGTTAGGTCGACACAATGTCAGTGTAGACACTGCGTTGCTTACATCGACTCTTCCTGCCTTTCCGAAACCGTCTCACAATGCCCCACGCTGACAGTTAAATCGGTGCAAGCGCTCCTGATGAAGACGCACACCACCAACTCAGGGAGCGTAGTGCGGAC